AAGCAATGTGTGACAGTTACATGGAGTTTTTTGCCAAGTGTATTTTTAAAAATATACATGAATTTTGCATTGGCTCTTTATCTTTCCACGTCAACTTGTTTGCAGGCACACTTATGAAGTACGTAAAATAAATAAAAATGTAAAACATATACTTATTTCTAACATTTTCTTTGATGGCTTTCAATACAGATACCTGGATTCACACACCTTGAGTTTGCTGCTTTGATAGCTAGTTGACTGTGCTTCCAACAACCGAAGGGACCACATCTGTCAGCCATCGAATCTCAACAGTAGCAGTAACATCAAGAAGATGGCAGAGCTGAGATACTGCGCCATGAAAACTACAGTATCACATTTGGCTTTGGTAAACATGCAGATGACTGCTCGTATTTTGATACAAAACACAGTCAGTGAAATCATATGCTTGTGTGGCTTGATACAACTGCCAACCCATGTGCTCAGCTCAGTTCAAGGATAGGGAGGGCACCTCCGTCAGCAAGGCTAGAAAGGGGCAGAAGCACTTCCACATAGGAAAGGTCACCCTGCATACTCTTCCGCAGTGGTACAACATCTCCACTCACTCTGCTTCCAGGGCAAATCCAAGAGACGTGACCCCGCTGAGGCCCTAGGTTGCTCTCCATCCTGGGGCAATACAAACGGCACATGAAAGCCCTGAATGAAAACAAATCTGCATTTGTACATATTTCTGTTTTTCATGCCTGAAGTTACAGTCTCAGGAGATACACGCATGATGATATAGTTCAAACTGCTGCAGAGGGCAGTGTTCCTGAAGTTGCGTCTTTCGAACGAGACATTTTTAAAAAGGCACTGATCTCTCAGAGTTAATAAACAGATCACAGCGCTATTATCATCACAGCATGACGGCCCCTTTTGTTTAACTGTCTTCTAGTAACGTCAATGTGTCCAGGTGCAACATACCTCTGAATTCAAATCCTAAACAAATCCCTGCAGGTGGACAGGAGTTAGTCTTTGTCCAGCCACACATCAGGGTGGGCTTGAGTCTTGTTTGCCTATCTTCATTAGGAGTTTACTCTGAGAGTCAATTGGATTAGGTCAAGAAATATAATGTTGTCTCCTGAAAGCAGGGGTATCAGACTTGGATCCGTTTCTCTTTCCTTAGCTCTCTCTCTTAGTTCAATGAATACTTTATCACCTCCCACAGTAACCTGGTTCAGCAATAGTGGGCTCTTAACATTTGCCAAGGAGATGTGGCAGTACAGGCAATGGTTTAAACCACTGGACTGTAAAGCTCGCAAGGCGCTGCACAGACTTTTTTTGACGAAAGGTTATTACTAAAGGGGAAATGTTATTAAAATTACAAAAGGAAATAACTAAACTGAACAGAGAGAACAAGTCATGTGATAACTGCGGACGCACAGTACCGTTTCATACCCAAACAACTGAACTCCTCAGGCGTTACTTACACTATTCATAACCATTATTTACCTATATCAATATAGATATTTTCAAAAGCAAAACTTCTTCTACACCGCAATTTCTAATTATTTGAGTCTTTTTTTTCCCCTCAAATGTTTTTGAGAAAATGAAACAAAAAATTCAGTTCTCTGCTTTAAAAATCTTCATGAATAGTTAGTCTGTTATCATTGGTTTCAGCTAAGTGTCTGACCTGAGGAAGACAGACAGCATCCTTCTCTGAATGCTTTGGTACACAGACTACTGTCATTAAAGAAACACTGTTGACTGTTGCAAACAGCATAACGCCATGCTAACTTGTAGCTGATGAACCTTACAGTACTTTATGTTGAAGCACTTCTGCTTATCATATACATGAACCCTAATGAATTATATATAGTTTATGGTACGTTGCCCTTTTATAACACCATTGCTGGGAATACAACTTATTAACTGTTAATAATCAGGGTTAACGCAAGGATGATGACATTGCAGATTAATGCACCTAGAAGCCAAGACTCAATAGCTTCTAATTGGGTAAACTGTTAATCAGATATCCAGTGAATGCTGCTATTCTTTAAAGTCTAGCTAAGTGTTCTCTCAAGGATATAGCCCAGTAATTAAGTGTACAATAGCTAAGGTTTCATTAAGTCGATCATTACCTCTCAGAATGTTTTTTCAGTAAGCTTTACACCCAAAGTTTCACAGTAGAAATATACTTTTCAGAAATCTCATTGACAATCTTACATTTAACACTATTCACTTAACATAAGAAATTATTTGCATGTCTTTATCATCTTTGTTTAGACAACTCATTTATAGTACCAGACATTTACAAACAGCAAAGACAGTTTAGAATATTATATTGTCTGGTGCATATAAGCCAAAATTTAAATCATAACCATTGCCTCAGGTTAAGCTATTTAAAAAAAAAAGCCCAAGAACAAGCTAATGGACAACAATTTACTATATTCCAGTAGTACTAAGAGTATTTTACGCACTGTATATAGGGAGCCTCACCAATAGGCTCACTGATACCGTATAGCATTCTGATTATTGTAGTGTGACTGTGAAAGAGTTAATGCTAGTGAGTACCACATTCATGAAATAAAACTTACTAAAGGCATTGACTCCAAAGGGCACTGAATAGTATTCAGAAGCCCAGCTCAGCTACTGTTGAGGTAAGCAGGAGTTTTATATTGAAACGTGAAAATTCCATCCTGTATTAATTAAGCAGTAAAATGAGACTGGATAACTAAACTAATGAATGGTACAGAAACAACAGACAGGAAATTATCAGTCAGTGTTCCTCATTCCACAGCAACTAGGCAGTAGCACATGAAACGATCAAGCAGTAAATTTAAAACAAACAAAAAGAAGTGTGTGAACTGTTGCTCGATACCACTACATGTTGTGGAGGTCAAATGTCACAAGGGAACCTCAAAAGAAAATTAAACACGTTCATAGGAGAAGTTTCACTGCAGGCTACTAAACCCAAAGACATAGTTGCAGCCTCCAAGCTCAGGAAGCCCAAACCACAGATTGCCTGGGTACGAGGAGGGTACAGCGGGACAAACGCATTTAGCTTGCTATCCCAATTATCTGCCGCAGATAAAATGAACCTTTGGAGAAGATGGACTTCATATTGGCAAGACAGACTGCTGGTCCAACCAGAACGGCTGCGCCTCATGTGTCAAGTCCTCAGCAAACATATCAAGGACTTTTAAATGTTTATCTACCTCAAGAAGAGTCCTCAAATTTTGGGCTGTGTGACAAAGACAGAAGCTGCAGCCACACTTCCCCCCCACCCCCCAGACTAGTTCAACTCAGACAAAAAAACAATTCACATGAATATTTACACTAGGAGGAACAGCTCAGAGTCATGCTACAGACAGCAGAACAAATGTTATGCGTTTTGAAGTAGCTCCACTTATTATACAAGTGTCTCCAGGTCCAGTAGGAAGGATAGAGGTCTACTTTTTGCCTCACTATTCTTCTTGCACACACAGAAAAATTACCTTCTCTGTAAGAATAAGCAACAGTGAAAATTGCTATTTACAGGACAGAATACTTCATTATCTATCTGTTTAAAAAAAAAAAAAAAAAAAAAGTGACCCAAAGAAAGATTTTTATCTTGCTTAGAAAGGTAAGCAGATCATGTCTTAACTTTTCAATTTTGACAAAAAATAGCCCTCTCATAGGGTTAGCTAAACAGAGCACCACAACTCAGTGATGCATAGGGGTGAAAGTTGCCAGTGAGCAACTGGCAAAAAAGAGCAAAAAAGCTGAAGCTTCAGGCCCCCAGAAGCAAAGGCCTCTGGAAGAAACATATTTCATACAAGAAAGAAGAGAAGAAAATACTGAGGCACACCATCTGGAATCAATTTCTTCAGGGTAAGAAAAATAAAATAGTCATTTCTTTTAGAACAGGTATCTTTTCAAGCCTACAGAGAATCTATGGTCCCAGCTATACCAGGAAAGCTCTGTGGGTGTATATTGGTATACATGATGTCATCAAAGCAGTTTTTGCATAAACATAGCTGTATCAGCTGAAATACAATTTGTTAGAGTAAAATAAAAATCTTCCCATGCAGTGTTACTGAGTGAAACAGTAGTTAACATTGTTGCAACCATTCTCACAGTACTACATAGCCCAGTATAGTATACACTGTTACATATTTTTTTTACACTCGCACACATGTATAGTATATATGCTGCTTCTCCTAAAACCCTAAAAGTGTCTCAGCCTATCTACCTCCTCTTTACAAAGCTGCAGTCCTCAGTAACTTGCACCATACTTTGCCAGCAAATTCTCCACAAGCATCAACCCTTGCTAACTGACATGGGACACCTTGAAGAATCATTACCTGCCTGTTAAAGTCTCTTCGTTACATACTGACTAATATCCGCTACCATTACAAAACATGAAGCTAAAACTTCGGCTTCTCCCATGACCTGTAAGGAACAAAGGCCTTAACTGAAAACTAACAACTGAGAAAGTCTTAATCTAACAAGAACAAACCAACATCTTATCAGTGGTGCACAGGGGTGCCAGTAATTTGTCTTCCTCCTTCCAATATCTCACTAACCTCTACCACAGAAAATACCCATAGGCTTGGATGCCCAAGAGCGAGGCTTCATTCATCTGAACAGGGCTCCCTCCAACTGGCTGTCATCCAGTTTAGATGGTTACGATCTTGTCCGACTCTTGCATGTGCGTGCTCTCCAAGAGATCTCCTAACCAAGCGATCATCTTACACGGCAAGTGTTTGTATTTGACCCAGTCTGTCTAATAGCATGTGGTTTTGTGATGCAGCAAAAACAACAGTTTTCAGTCCTTTTAGAAAAAAATACAGCTAGTGTTTGCATTCACTGTGACACACTTTTATGGCCCTTCTGGAAGGCAGTTTATTTCATATATTGACCAAAAAATCTGTCTTGGTATTTAAGCACTGTGAAATCATCCAAATTGCTCTCTTAAATATAGTGTCTAATGGTACAAGATTACGCACAATGCTATCTGTTTAATTAAAATCAGACAGAAGTCTTAAAATCAGCATACTTACAAAAAGCAGAAGCAGCAGTGGAGTTATAACAATGCCCTGGAAGAGATAAAAATAATTGTCTGTTAGTCAGGGAAGCAGATTACTCTTTACTTCCTTGTACCCTGATGCATGGCAAAACGTAAACTTCACTCAGCATCATAGAAATTAATTGACAAAAAGGTCAAGTTCAGCTTTGCTCTTCACTGTGTAGGTTCTTTAGTGTCTATAAACGGATCATTTTATAAACAATATTCAGTACAAATTATTATTATTTTTTAACCTCTAGCTTTCCCCATTTAGACCTAAGACCCTCTCTTTTAAAACACATGATATACATAAATATAGATTGATATATATAAAAAAAAAATATA